CCAATAACATCATTGTCATCCGATTGGCAGATGACACACACATCTTCGTCGGCGGAAACTGAACGATATGAAGCAGCTTATCGCCGGGATGGAACGAGCGCTCAGCTCATCAGTGGTATTGGCACAATGACACGGAGCTAAACGCTCACAAAACACATATTATTGATCAACACTCCAACGACGCTGCGAGATTTGCCGCCAGTCGCGCTGATCTTCTGTGGTGCGACAGTCCCTAGCTCCATATCAGTCAGAAATATCAGTCACCACCGGCCGTCACCTCAGCTGCCACGCGGGCCATGTGATCCCGGATGCGACCTTAAAGAGCATTCTGCAAGCGTCGGTGTTGTCCTTAATCAGATATGTATGTCTGCATACGGCTCCTGTAGCGATACTCAGAGGCATCGAGTGTAGAAGATTACAAAATTGTGTGCACGGGTGGTGGCAGGCAGAAGACAAGACGACCACATATCGGACGCTATGGAACCACTTGGGTGACTGACAGCCAGACAAATACCTGTCACACTCTTCCAAGCTGTGCGTGCTGTTCTCTCTCGCATCAAGCCTGAGCTGCCTGACAGCATGTATTACACGATGGGGTAGCGTGCGAATCAAAGGCACGCACAAGCCACCAGACGTGCCGCGTGCCTGACCCGGCCGCAAAGCCGCACGGCAGCGGAGAGTCACCGGCCGTGCTACCGGGGCGTGGAGTTGTCGATATGCCCGGCATCGACCCTCAAGCGCCGGCTTTTCGACGCCACGTGAAACAAGTAATAGGTACTGTGAGCGTTGCCGACCAAACTCGGACTTGTGACTTTTACAATGTTCTTTTACACTGCATGTTCTGCATCTCTATATATTATGTGAGCGTGTGCTACCCCGCCGGTGGCATGATTGCTCTTTTCTGTGTTCCCGACATATTTTGTATACCACGACGTACCTAAGTGAAAAGCCACGATGTGAATCTAATGTTAACACGCGCCCGGGTGCCCGGCTAAATACCCTTTGCTCGGTTTGGGGTCAGTTTGACCCCCTGAGATCTCGGGAACTAAGAAAGCTAAAGACACCAAATTTGCAGAGTGTCTTGACCTCTACATTAGCTCACTTAGGTCAAAGTTTGGGCTTCTTAGGTCATGACCTTCAGGCTTAAATAAGGTCAAACAAGGTCAAATTCGAGGACGGTCTCCAAAGTGCCCCCAGAACCTAGGAAACTGTTTCTCAGCAAAAGGTCACAAGCCCAGTTGAGGTCACTGACCTTTTTTGACCTTTTGAACGTCATGGTGACCAAAATCGTACAAGACTGCTCTCAGTTTTGCATTTGAATAAACGACAAAGATTGCGCTAGGCAGTATGTTCCTAAAACAAAATGCCGACCCGGGTCATCTCAGGTCAATGACCTGTTCTGACCTCTAAGAAGTCAATGGAAGATGCATAATGTGGTTCCTGCTGTCAATAAGTTCGAAATGAACACCACAACCTATCCCATACAGCAAGCCCTAGAGTAATAGATCAGGTTGGTTTTCACCTTAGTCTAACTTTCAAACCTGACCTTAGGTCAAAGTAATTTGTTCATTTAATATTTGTGGTGCCTAAGAAAGCATCTCAGACATGTATGGCTTCGTCAAACACTCCGTTATTGTATGAGATTGGACGATTCCCTGGAAATTGCCTTCCCTAAAACCATGGCCTGACTTTGACCTGCCATAAGTCAGCGATCTTACAAGGTACATCTAATTTTTGATGTCAAACGATCCGCTATTCAGTTGTCTACATTATGCAAAATTTGGCGCGACTACACCGCGCCGTTCGCAACCCATTCTGGAAAAACCCTCAGGGTGTTAATTTGACCCCCCCCCCCCCGAGGGTGTGTTAAATACATCATTATCATCATCGTAAGCCGGCCCAGTATTTGTACACGGTGGTACTATCCGTGCGAATGGAGGCACATCATCAGTGTACGACCGAACAGAAGACGTATAGACACGGCCCAACATTCTCGTCAGGTGGGTCGGTTGACGTGAAACGTGACGCGCGCGCACGCGCGCACACACACACACACACACACCACACACACACACACACACACACACACACACACACACACACACACACACACACACACACACACACACACACACACACACACACACACACACACACACACACACACCCACACACACACACACACACACACACACACACACACACACACACACACACACACACACACACACACACACCACAACACACACACACACACACACACACACACACACACACACACACACACACACACACACACACACACACCACACACACACACACACGCACACATACACTCACATGCACATGCACATGCACATGCACATGCACATGCACATGCACACACATGCACATACACATGCACATGCACATGCACATGCACATCACATGCACATCACATGCACATCTCTCTCTCCTCTCTCTCTCTCTCTCTCTCTCTCTCTCTCTCTCTCTCTCTCTCTCTCTCTCTCTCTCTCTCTCTCTCTCTCTCTCTCTCTCTCTCTCTCTCTCTCTCTCTCTAAGGCCATAAGGCCATAAGCCTATATAATATATATATATATATATATATATATCATATAAATGTCTGTATATGCATATTGTGGTGTGTGCACGCATGCGTTTCTGTAACAGAAATGTTCCAAAAGTCATAGGTAACGGTTGTCATGTTCCAACACATGTGGGAACGTTTTGAGCAGCTCTCGAGCTAGATAATAGGTGCAAGTTCTGCTAATCGCTGTCGCACACCAACTACAAGCAACGCACACAAAACCGTCTTCGCAGTTGTTCCTCGCACGGGATGGCAGTTATCATGCACGCATTTTGTGTACTGAAGAGGCTTGACGTTTCTTTTCTAAGCTGCACAAGTGACCATGTGGTGATGTGCCACAGTCGATTCCTTCCTGTAGTTCTAAAAATGTTCATTCCGAATTAGATTGAAGGTAATAAAAGGTGACTCGTGACAATGGGCTCAGCCTCAAAGTGTCGAGGTTTGGGCGCGAAAAGACAGGCGAGAATATAACAAATGCTTTCTTGATAACGTCTTTATGCCAGCATCTCCTGAAAAAATGAAGGTAGATCGAAGGCAAAATATTGGCAACACAGTGAGCTGCAAATTATGGGACTGCCATTCAGCCGCCAGGCAGATAGAGTAAGAGGGGCAGACACCCTGACCCTTCCATTTCTAGAGAGTTACAAGGCAAAGCTGCTCTCATTCACGCATCGCGGAGACGATTACGCACGTGCGCTGCGCGTGCTTCGGCATATCCACGGCACGAAAAGAATCGTGTCATTAAACCAGCATCTGCTAATGAAATTTTGTATTCCACTTCTTCGAGCAGATAGGCCACATAGGCCACATGGGCACAGTAACTAATTTCATGGGCATATAGGTGGATACACTTGTCACTAATGTCATGCTATATTCGTCACGAACTGAGAAGCATGCATGCCTCCATCATGCCCACTATATCGCAAACATGCTTCTTTTGATGCTCCCAGCGTTGCCGCGACGAAATCTAGAAGAATTCAAAGCTTTGGATACGAAAGAACCACGGTCCAAAACTGCAGCTACGTAGAGCTGTGTCCAGCTGCTTTGGGAAAGCTAGTGCAGGGCGTATTGAGGGAAAACTGCGCAGACCCTGAACACGTAGATGTTGAAAATAAGAGAAAGCAAGTCGGCTCTGCCTGCAATCAGGTTTTAAGAGAAGAGAACCTGATGCTCAAGGTGTTCGAGCGTAATATAAATATCCCGAAGCGGATATCACTCGACAGCGCTCAAACCTACATCATCACGTTCAACGCGCTGCTGACGAGAGGGATACGGTGGATAACGTCAAGGAATCACTTCTGAACTAGAGTAAACGCTTTAAGCCAGTCGTCACCAGGAACTATGAAACAATATATATATATATATATATATATATATATATATATATATAACACAACTAAACAATTGTATTTGGAAGCGATTTTGAGCTCGGACAACGATCGAAGATGGCTCAAAATGACTTCAAGAATCCTTATGTGCCCGGAGAGGACGGCTGTTGACGGCTGTCAGAACCGTAGCACTATCGTCCAGCAAATGTTAAACAGCCTCAGCTTCATGAGCGCGACTATGTGGCAACGCACTCCGCAATGTTCTATATTTGTTTCACGGGTAGGTGACGTGAGATGTCGACGTTGAGCACAAGCAGTAATGCACCAATGAGACAAAAGGATGCCAAGAGAGGAGGAGCAGCGTGACAGTCACAGGACTGCATGACGGAAAATGAAGAGTCGGCGTTTCGCATCGTGATGTATCGTATGCCAGCATTGCAATCATAGTCCAACGTGTTCTCACCGAACACTTTTCATTCAACCACACGACGTAGGAGTGCTACCAAATGTAATTGCACCATACGTGCTAGCAAGCTCCAACCAATTGCCTTCGGGTTCGAATAACAGAACCTACGGGGTCCGCTGCCATCATCACAGACTTCACATGGGAATCACATGAGACTCACACGAGAATCGCGCTTCAAAGGCTAACCAACTTTCCTTCTTGGTTACAATACCATAGCGAAAGCGAGGCGGAGCCGACGAGCACGGTCTACGCACAACGCACACGCGTGTGTGTTATACATCATTCAGGACTGGAGTGGGAGAACCACGTCAACTAGCAGCACTCCATCGCAGCACAGGTGTGTAGCTCCTGGATCCCTGCAGCACTGCATCAGCATTCACGTAGGCGTCATCACTGCAGGGGCAAGAAGAAGCTCGGAGAAACAAGAAAGCAATCTTTAAAGGGACCGCGCCCGGTTTTTCGCCCCATGTGTGCGCACAGGTTCTGCCGAACCATCCGACAGCCCTGACCTACCCCTCAGTTTCCAGCCTACTGAGCAATACTCAATCACATGGCCCTGGGCCCGAGACCAGTAGACTGCTCCAGTCTCAGTCCAGGCCTATCACCCGTAGCACCCCTCAGTCTCATGGCCGTCCCTGGCTCGGCCTAACTGGCACCTCGTCATATTTCAACATATTCTCCGCCCAGCCCTCCTAATCAGATTCCGTCCGCAAGTGCCCATCCCCAGCGCCAAGGCTCCGACGCGAGCCGCCGATCCGGCAGCTCGATGAGCGCCGCGCTAGCCGGCGCTAGCCGGAGTGGTTATCATCGAAGCTGCTGTCGCGTAACAGCCGCGCCCGGCCCGAAGCCTCGCTCGCGCTGGACAGGAAGCGCATCGACCCGGCCGCCTCGCGCGACAGCACCTCGTCACAGCGACTTGAGAGGAACGTTGAGAGGCCGGGCGTCCCGTTCAAGGCGTCCCGACCGTTGGCCTGCAGAGAGACACCGCTCTGGTCCAGCTCTCGCTGCAGGTCGTGGTTGCCGGCCATGCGTGCGTACGCGGCCGGCGTGAAGCCAAGCATGTCCTTGGCCGCCGGGCTCACGCCGTAGGCCAGCAGGAGCCGGCAGATGTCGGCATTGCCCGACAGCGCCGCCTGCCGGATCAGGGAGGAGTTAGCAGGAAGAGACGGCAGCGCTGCCTGCCGGACGTGGGAGCGGGCGTGGTTTCGTTTCAAGAATGATGGAATCGATTCAGACTCCATGTGCGAGTGACGCAAATTCGATTCGACTTCGATTCTGACCCAAGGATAGGTGGTGAAATTCTGGAATCGGTTTCAATGCAGCCAATTACCGTGGTGGCATTCTATAGGTTGGGTGTGCCGTTCTATTGAATTCGTTAAAACCTTCATAGGCCATTCGCTTTGACAGCAAGATGGCATCTATAACTCTATCCATATGGTCCACGTATAAGCTCTGTCACACTTTGAATATCATTGTTACAATGTTTCTCTCAGTAAAAGCACTAGGATGACAAACGAAATCAATGAAATCTATTGCATTTCCATAAACAAAAATTTGTTTGATTCTCAGGTCGCGTACAGCTCCACCTGGAGACGAGAACAAGCTTGCCCAAGAGTATTCCTCCGGGAGGGCACAGGGTGCTTTTATATTGGATACGAACAACAGAACAAAAACGAATCCGTTATTTCCTATCACCTGTCGGAAAGGTAAATCTCTGACTTGCATTTCTTTTTGTTTATTTTATTTTTTTGAAACCGCTAGCAGCACCTATACTTTTGAAATGGCAGCGAAAAACGCAAGACACGGTGAACAATTTTGTGCCATTAGCATGTTCCGTATAAATACATTTTCTACTTCTCGTAACCAGCCCTGCACGTGCTATAGCTCATCCATCTGCTCGCTTTAGCGGAAGGCCATTGTCCTGTTGGGTATGACGCAATCATAACTTCGTCCAAGATACACACCGCGCGCTGCTTACGCTATACTTCACTAAACAGACATGAGCGGCACCACAGGCAGCACTGGCACCATACCACGTGCAGGGCGGTGCGTCCGGTGGCGTCCGGCTGGCCGAGGTCGGTCTGGGCCAGTCGGTATGCCTCCAGCATGGTGACCCGGCCAGTAGCGGCGGCGCTACACAGCTGCTCGCCTGGCGACGGAGGGGGGGGGGGGTCGTCACAGCGGGGAACAGCTGCCCCCCTGAGGACGGGGGCTGGGGTACGTCACAGCAGGGAACATCTGCTTCCCTGGTGACGGGGGGGGGGGGGGAGGCAGAAGTACGTCACAACCGGGAACAGCGTACCCCCTGGCGGCGGGCGGGGAGAGGGCAGCACATCACGACGTGTCACAGCGCTGGCCAGTTGGAGAGTCACGTCACTACACCGTACATCCACACCTAGTGCCTGATGTCTAGAGCATGTGATCCCTGGCGGCACAGACAGCCTGACATCACAGCGCACGTCACATCGCGTCAGGTGACGTGGCGCGACAGGTGACGTGACGTGGCACGTGACGTGACGTGGCCGAAACAGGTGCGTAGTCGGTAAATTGTGATGTGACGGTAAGTCATGTGAGACATGGCGTGACATCAGTGAGATGGACACAGCTATCAAACGGAAAATTCCCAGCTGTCTCATGGAGCCACATCGAATCTTAGCAAAGCATGGATAATGGACCTCTGCGATCTGGTAATCATCTCTGACAGCCACATAGTGCCTACATGCAGAATGTAACTACACGCAATGCGATAAAAGATGACCCAAGCACATGTTTGTCTTGGAGAAACCCAGGTGATGACCGTCATTTATCGCAACAAACGCTGCATTGCATATCCAGCGCAAATACGCCCATTTCAGCGACGGCGGCTCATACAACTCTCACCCAACTTGTGCTTGATCCAGTGTACAGTTGAAATCGACTCCGGAACGAACGAAATTTGAGTTTTGCCACGATGGAATTGAGGCCTTTTAATTTGTCTCGTGATTCGAACCCAGAATTAACTCGACATAATCATCGATGACTAGACTCCATTAGGGACGCAAATAACGACACATATTAATGCTATGACACCCTATACGCGGACCAAATGAAAATCACCGATGCAGACATATCTTGAGATTAGAATAGGCGTTCTATGTAGGCCTTAATATCACAGAATACCTCCTCATTTGTCAAGGAAAGCGATTCCGCCGGGACTGATCCCGAAAAGTTGAGCCACTTCTCCTCGATTTGGCATTGAGATCAATCCAATGTTGCACTGCCTTACACGAAGTCAGAGCCAAAATATGCCCCATGCGCTGTAAGTCGGAGCCGGGCCCGATTCCATTGAAGCAGGATCAAGCACGAGTGTGCCGCCCTCTCCATCGGTAGCAGGCATTGCACGTCACGCGGTCCCGTTCTGAGGCGTCACTCTCCCACGAGTGTGTCGCCCTCTCCATCGGTAGCGGGCACTGCACGTCACGCGATCCCGCTCTGAAGCGTCGCTCTCCCACGAGTGTGCCGCCCTCTCCATCGGTAGCGGGCACTGCACGTCACGCGGTCCCGCTCTGAGGCGTCGCTCTCCCCAAAAATGACTGGGATGCCCCACTAGAGATTTTGAACTTTCGCTGCTGTTTCCATGCACCACACAATTATTGGGGGTCGACAGAGGGTAATTCTGAACTTTCTGGTCGCTTTTCCTATCCATCGACTCAAAACATCCACGCTGCTTGACAGGTATGAGACTGATGGTGAGACATGAGATTGCTCTGTCCCGCATGCACCGAGTGGCCTGCCTGCGGCTGCCGCCACTGACCGAGGTGCGCCGGCGCCATGACAAGATGGGCGCCGCAGTCCACCAATATGCGGATGCAGTCGAGCCGCTGGAACTGCACGGCCGAGTGGAGAGGCGTGGCGCCGCTGCGGTCGCGGATGTGAACGCTGGCGCCGTGCAGCAGCAGGTGACGCAGCACGGCCGTATTGCCCTCGCTCGCAGCCACGTGCAGCGGCGTGCGCCGGTCGTAGTCCATGCTGGACACGTCAGCCCCCTGAGCGAAAGGGGGTAGGGCAGGGGGAGGGGTGAACATGCGGGTAAGACGAGATACATGAGCAATCAGCCAGCATGGTACGCCTGAGTGATAAGTCCTTTCAACAACGTGGTACCGATATCCTGAGGGCCACCAAGGCACTGCAAGAACAGCATAAACACACTGGCTGCCGCTGGTCGCAGCAGCAGCTCACGACAATACGGATGCTCCTTAAGGACCCTCACTGGATTGCCATTAAGCGTACATTAGCCTGACGATTTTGTACGTCAACCTGTAGCGTAGCTTTCGCCACCATTTTGCAGCACTGAACCCTCGAAAGCCCACCTTAACGAAACAGCCTCCAGACAAACGACCCCAGCGTTCAGTCACCAGCCCATGACCTGGTCCGGCGCCGATGACCTGGTCCGGAGCCGATGACCTGGTCCGGCGCCGATGACCTGGTCCGGAGCCGATAACCTGGTCCGGCGCCGATGACCTGGTCCGGCGCCGATGACCTGGTCCGGAGCCGATGGCCTGGTCTGTAGCCCATGACCTGGTCTGGAGCCCGAGCAGCCTCACTCACGAAGTTCCGCAGCGCGTCGATGCGCTCGATGGAGCCGCATTCGGCCGCAGAGCACAGCATGGCCGGGTACAGGGTCTCGCGCAGCCGCTCCACCTCGCCGCTCGAGGTCATGTGCATCTTGCGCGCGATCGCCTCCACCAGGTCCTGGTCGTGCAGCTCCACGTCCACGTGCGCGGTCAGCTCGCCGCGCAGGTTCTGCGTTATCTTCTGTTGGCGGCAGACACGGCGCGCTTCAGTTTATCGTTGTCCTTGCGTTGAGCCGACGCGGCAACACGTTCGCAACTGCTATTTTTCGTCAGTGGCTCATATACCAGAACTTCATCAGCGGCAGATTTAGGAAACGATGTAAACTCATTCAGTTAACCCTTCTACGTCGTCAGTACCTTTTTACGTAGGCAATACGGACAGCAGTGGAGCGAACGCACACACTTTAACCCAGCACATCGGCGTAGATCAGGAATCACAGTGACACGGATGCCTGGAGCAGGTAGCCACCAAGTCTCCAAGCGCACCTGCACCTGTAGTCTCCACCCGTACCTGTCGTTTGGTCTCGAGGTCCCACTCGTCCTTGGTGAGCACGTAGGCGAGCTTGGTGAGCGCGGCCTCGGGGGTCATGTCCGCTCCGGGGAGCACGCCGGCGTCCAGCAGGGACTTGCCCGTCTCGTAGGTGGCGCTGACGGCGCCCTGGAGGACGCAACTAGCCGTTCAGAGGATGCAGGCACGGGCTAGCGTCCAGCACGGCTGTCTGCGGTCGCACAGCCTGATCTCGACATAAGGACCCTATGAGACGCATTATGCTAACCAGTTGAGGCCGGGTTGTTGAGAACTGTCCACGAGCCAGTGGCTAGAATAAACATGCCAGTGGCTGGGGTCCACGAACTAGTGACTAGTGTCCACGTGCTAGTGACTTACGTCCACGTTCTAGTTGCTAGTGTCCACGTGTTTGTCATGGCTGCCAACACGCACATTGCGTTGGGTACCCACATAGATAAACAGATAGACACTCCTCAGCAAAGGGCGGCCGGCCTATTTTATGTTTTGTCATGCCCAACCGGCGCCAGCTTAACCGTGTCAGACAAACCACAGCCTGTACACCAGCTGCATGTGATGAGCAGTCCTATCAGCTTCTTCGCTGCGTATCCACACCTGACTGCACTGGGTGCAGTTGACGACGATGACACCTCGCTGTCTGGCCTGGTAGAAGGCGTCTAGCAGGTCCTTGCGGTTGGAGGGTACATTGCCGGCCCCGTACGACTGCAGCACTACCCCCTGGATCGGTTCTTGGAGAAACGCTTTCACCTGCGCAAACCGCGCTGTGCCGTTGGTGGAGATAATGCAGCTTGCCAATCTTGGAATCGATCGGCAAACGAAAAAGTCCGTTGGTTTCTCCTGGATTGAGAACCGTGACGTTAAATGCACATGCTGTGCGCGACTCAGGCTGGCCAGCCCAGGTGCTTGGCTAGCCGTGTAATATCAGCGGGTATATCGTTCAACTTCCAAATTATCCCCAGCTGAGCACTTACACCAGTTTCGTAGCATGTGCTCTACCATCGGCGTCATTTCTAACAGGGTTTTTCTACACACACACTAACATTTCTCCTCCTACGTGGTCAACATTCACTTTGCCCACACCGGAGGCCTGGTCGTTTGCAGGGCAGTTCACCTGGTCAGGACTACTGCACGGGCGACGCAGAGCGCGTCACTGACCGTCTCCGTCGTGATGGAGGGAAACAGGCGGAGCAGCCCGACGTGTCGGCAGAGGCGGCTGTGGACCTCAAACCGGGCGATCGTCGTAGGACGGAATATCGTTCGGTAGTCAACTGCGAAAACAGTGCAGATGACATGACAGCAGAGTCTGATGATATGCTTTTTGGTGGGTGGGGAGAAGGGGGGGGGGATAAACGCGTATCGCCTTCTGAGAACAGAGCTTAGATAGATCTTTGCTTTGATAAATCAATATATGCATTCATAGTCATGAGAAAAGACACAGTTTTAGGCGGTTGCTGAACGAGGGTTCTTGCGGAAGGCAAAAACAGTAACAGCGAACGAGATGCCAGAGCCATTGTCGAGGCATATGCCACAAGGAAAGAGGTTCTAACTACCATCTCCAGAGCCCTCGGCCGCGAGCAGGAGCCAGCACCAGCTTCCACTTGGTCTGGCGGTGAGTCACCTTCGATATCGATGCCGACCGACACGAGCGGCGACAGGTTGGGTGAGCCGAAGGCGCTCAGCTTGCCCGTGCTGATCTTGGTGGTGCGGTTGCCGCGGAACAGCTCGTGGTTGAAGAACACGGTGACCTCGGGAATCGTAAACTGACCGGCCAGCAGCAGCGCCACCAGAAAGTTGTCGCGACCGTCGCTGCGCGTCTCGAAAATAGGGATCTGCAACGGCGACACGACGAAGCCCCTGTTCACACTAGGGTACGGCCTGCGACTTTCGGTACCGAAGGAGCGTTTGCCTGGCAGGTGTACCTGCTGACACTGAGGGTAGAGCTGCTCTCTTTGGCACGCGTCGCGAAACGTCGGAAGAACTGAAGTCTGCACTGTCAGGTAGCCCGCGTAAACTTGACTGAGGTTTGTTTGTGATGATCCAAGGACTTAACGGTCAACTGGTTCATATGTTTAGCACCACCACGTGCCACTCGCGCAGGATGTACTGTACTCAGCCTCCATGAAATGACATCAACCAGATGCCTTTTGCGGCGTCGGGCGACTAATGAAATAACATAGGTAAAGGTCAGTGTGATTTAGGTCATACAAAAACATGCTCAAAAGAAAACTACCGCGTTTAGAAGCTTATACAAGTTCGTGTTTATATCACTGATTGGAATAGTAATGAGTTGAGCTCATGCTGGAGCATTCAATCAGCTAACTTTATGGAATATTCAATGAGTTGGGTCATCTCCAATGGTTTTGGCAGGCAGAAGTCCACTAATGTATCATGCATGGTGTACAGGTGAAGCATCACGACTTTTTTTTTTTGCTTGGGCACATACTTGGACCACATGTGTGCATAATTTCTCTTATGGTTTAAGATCAGCCCTTTGCCTTATATAGTGCCTCACAACTGCCGTTTGTTCGCCTGAAATTCAGAGGCCATGTTTTAAACATTTAGTCTAAAATCTTTTGATTGGATCGATATTTGACATCAGAGCCCACGGCTCGGCAGTGCTCGTTGCGTGTGAGGCCAGACCCCACCACACCATCATGAAATTTCGGGTCAAGTTGATAATTTTGTGGCGTAAGTTTGCCGTGCAGTTAGCAGTGTTTGGCGCGGGCTGTTTTGTAGGGCGTCGTAGCATGCCGGATTATATGCCGTCGCCGTGCCACCGTTTGACACGAAGGTTATAGCGCTGAGCGCGTGTGCGGTTTATCGTAAGTGGCGTAGTGTTCCTGTTGACCAGTCGGTCGGAGCACGTTACGGAAGGATCTAGTGGTGGTGCCGGTCTCAGGTGGCGCGCATGTGCTTCAGTGGAGACTCGTTTGACCCTTGGGCTCCCAATTTAGAGGGAGCTGGCCGTCGTTCAGCCTGGTCTCCTGACGCGCGCTCCTGGTCGCTCGAATCGCGTCGCGATCAGGGCCGGCTCGAGCGTAGCAGTGTGTGGGAGGTGGTGGAGGGGAGACTGAGTAGGAAAGCGACGGACCCAGGTGGTCAACAGGGAAGGGGCCGAAAAAGAAAGGAGAGTGAAATCATTTAGGCCTCTGGCTCGCCCGCACCCTGCGCAGAGACCTGGCTGTTTGGGGTGTCTCTTGTCCATTCAATGGCAGCCCTCTTCTTGAGCCATGATACATTTTAAGATCGCATCAATAAATGTCGATGGACTCCGATTCCTTGGGAAATCGAGCAAGCAAAGACAATTGTTTTTGCTGGTTCAAGAAACGGAGATTAGATAAAGTTTCCATGCAGGAGACACATTCAGGCATAACAGCTGAGAACATATGGCTGAACGAATGGGGAGCACGGGGTGTTTTCGCTCACGGCGGAAACAGGAGCAGAGGGAAAGCCATCCTTATCAATCCAGATATGAAAATGTCCATCCAAACAATCGTTTAGTGTCCATCAGGTGGTTTTGTCATTCTCGTTGCGACATCAACGGGAACACATTCACGTTAGTAGACACATACGGTCCGAACACAGGCAGCCCGAGCCACTTTCGCACCTTACTTGACAAATACGAAGACATACGAACTGGTGACATCATATGGGACGGGGATTTCAACTTAGACGTGGAGATCGATAGGTTTACTGCTGCAGCCAGGTGTTACAACACCGACGAATCAAAACGGGCAGTTCAAGAATTTATGCGAGCAGACTTGCTAATAGACATTTGGAGGTCATCGAACCCTGAAGTTCGCATGCATACCCATGGACGTAGAGATCCACAAAGTAAATCTAGGATCGATCTTCTATAATTATTGACTCGTTTCTTTCCCAGGCTGAAGCACCCAAAGCCCAACTTGCGGACAGAATTATGTCCGATCGTAGGATAGTCGTTGTCGAGCTGAGCATTCCCAAAACTAAACGGGGCAAACTATATTGGAAGTTTGATAATTGGTTGCTGCGCAACGATGTTTACCTGCAATCGGCAAGGCTGAAAATGGCTGAAATTGTCCGAGATAGTTCGACAGGAATATCAGCATGTTTGCTCCTGCACACAGTGTCGTGCGTGTTACGGTGGTATACAATACAGTATTCATCTCGCAAAAAGAAGGAGGGGGAAAAGAGATTAAATGGGTAAGAGAATGCTATAAATATGATTCAAAATTCTACCTTACGCGTACCAGCCAATTCTGACGCAGCTCCATGGCTTGCTAGTGCTAAAAAGGAAAGAGGCAACATTCTGCGAGACATAACTTCGGGCATGTACAGTTGTCAGGCACGGTGGCGACACCTTCCGGAGCGAAGTACCGCTTACTTTTACGGGTTGAACAAACGCCTCCACAGGCCTGGACAGATGGTGTTTAGGCCAATGATATTAAGCTATACTAAAGCCGGGCATACCACAGAATCCACATGGGAGGTGTCAAAACATGTAAATCTATTCTGAAACACTATACAAGCGATCAGCATGTGACGTTTGGAGCGAATTAATTTCATGCATCCATGGCATGACAAACTCGGAAGCAAAAGAGCTGGAGGGCCCTCTTAGAAGACAAGAACTCTGCAAATCCGGCGTCCGTGGCGAGCTCGACTAGCCCTGGTCAGGACGGCTACACGGTACCTTTTTGCAAGCTTTTCGGCAGGAACTGGGCACCATAGTCTGTGGCGCTGTTAGAGAAACACACGAGTATGCTCACATCCCACCAGAACTGCAGAAGAGTGTAACAATTCTCAGCCCGAAGCATGGGTGATGATTTCTCAAAATGATAGGAGAGGCCAAAGTCTTGAAAGTCGCTATAAGGGACAGGTGTGAAAAATTCCTTGGATTTTTCCACTTACGATCTGGCCTTTCAACATACCATGTGTATATGATATATATATATATATATATATATATATATATATATATATATATATATATATATATATATATATATATATATGCATTAGTACATGTAGGCAGCAATGTATGTTCTATGCAAGAGTTGCCAAAGACCTTGGAATAGACACATTTTATCAGCTTTATCTGTTCTTCCTCGAGTTTTCTGATTATCCCCCTCTGCCCATCATTGAGACTGAAAAGTGGCTGGCTGATGTTTGATATCCATTAATTGTACTAACGTTTCGAAATTACATCTTGCATTTTCAAAGTTACTCACATACATCATACAAGTGACGAATATTTAATTACATATTACGGTTGGTGTAAACAGTAAGGTAAAACCGCTAGGCATCATCAAGCTCAGTTCGATCCCCAAACTTTATAGTCTAGATAATGTGGTTGACATTTTTTGGGGAGTATAAGAATTCAAGCGGCAAAACACGGACTGAGTGGTAAGATATACCACCTACGGATGATAGCGATCGTTCCTAAATGAGATGAGGTGAAGGGTGATGAAGGGGGTCGCTTGCTTGCTTAGTTCCGGTGACAATGCTTTGATCGTGAGAGCCTTCAGGACACAAAGCTTCCTCCAGTTTGATGATAATGTTAAGATGTTAGTGTTTCTGGTGAAGTCGGTTGATGTTCCCGTCGTGTTCTTTTTGCACGTGCTCTTTTGGATCACCATCAGCCAAGTGCGTCGTCAACCGCCTTGAGAGTGTGGTGGTAGTGACACCAACGTAGTTTCATTGCTTTAGGAGTCTCCAATCTCCTGTGTCACAACGAAATTGGCAAACGACGTTGGTTCGTTTCAAGGAGTTAAAGTTGGCTGTGAGGTTATTTTTATGATGGGTTGGGTGACCACTCTCTTTTTGTAGTAGATGGTGAGCGTTATCTTGCCGTCCTGGCTGACTAACTTGACGTTTTCAGATATCACTTTCTTGAGAATACGCTCGTCTGTCTCATAACTATCAGACATTCGATTATAATGGAAGGGCTTGATTGGGTTTGGTTGATGTTTGACGGCGTCAACTTTTTCTGATATTGTGACACAAAGCTGCTGGTCTCACGGTCGATGGCGCTGCTGGAGAAGCCAACCTTTACTAGAACTTGCTTGATGCGCCGCAGTTCAGTGTGTAGTTGCCACCAATCGTAACAGAGTTTGAAGGCTCTTCGGAGGTAGGAGCGCACTACACTGATCCTGTACCGGTCGGGGTATTCGCTTGTGACACTGAGGCATCGTCCAGCATCTGGTAGCTTTTTGAAAACTGTCGTCACGAATCGTCGGTCAGCAGTGATGTTTCTATCTAGAAATGCAATACGGTTATTGACGCCCAGGTCGTAGATGAATCGGAGAACTGAAGCTTGTTCCATTGCACTTTTTAGTTAGATCAGTTGGCTTCCATCACTAACGTCTACGAAAGTCAGCATCAATGTTCAATGCAGTCTTAATGATCAAGTGAAATCCGTGCGTACTGGACCATTATTTGCTTAGTGATTTCTGACGTATTTGCCTACACATTTGCAAGAATTAAGTATTCAAACAGATGTGGATGTCACCACTCGTTTACACGTAGGCTCTCCACCAAACCGAGGTTTCATCGATAAAATATATGCGCTTCATTTAACGTAAAACAGGTACAGGCACTCCTCCATTCACCAGTAATGAAAAGGGTCCTCAACCTTTCCCTAAATAGCTGAAGTAGATGCCCTACTGTCGAGAATGTCTTTCCTTATTCATTTCCTTTCACCTGCCCCTCAAGCCCGCGGTGTTTAGGGGACACTGCTCCAAACCTTTGCGTCTCAGAACGGTAAGCGACCCGAACCCACCTAACTTCGAATGCGTGGCAAATCAAGCCCCGCAGTGCCAGTATGACGCGCAATGCAGGTTGGGTATAAAAA